GAGTGTAGAGTGTATAGTGTGGAGTGTAAAGTGTAGAGTGTGGAGTGTGGAGTGTCAAGTGTAAAGTGTAGAGTGTGGAGTGTAAAGTGTGGAGTGTAAAGTGTGGAGTGAGGAGTGTAAAGTGTGGAGTGTGGAGTGTAAAGTGTGGAGTGAGGAGTGTAAAGTGTGGAGTGTGGAGTGAGGAGTGTAAAGTGTGGAGTGTAAAGTGTGGAGTGTAAAGTGTGGAGTGAGGAGTGTGGAGTGAGGAGTGTGGAGTTTGTAAATTGTAGAGTGTGAAGTGTAGAGTGTAAGTGTAGGGTGTAAAGTGTAGAGTGTGGAGTCTGGAGTGGGAAGTGTAGAGTGTGGAGTGTGGAGTGTAAAGTGGGGAGTGTGGAGTGTAGAGTGTGGAGTGAGGAGTGTAAAGTGTAAAGTGTGGAGTGTGGAGTGTAAAGTGTGGAGTGCGAAATGTGGAGTGGAAAGTGTAGAGTGTGGTGTGTAGAGTGGAGTGTGGAGAGTAAAATGTAAAGTGTGGAGTGTAGAGTGTAAAGTGTAGAGTGTGGAGTGTGGAGTGTAGAGTGTAAAGTGTAGAGTGTAAAGTGTAGAGTGTGGAGTGTAGAGTGTAAAGTGACGAGTGTAAAGTGTGGAGTGAGGAGTGTAAAGTGTGGAGTGTGGAGTGGAAAAGTGTGGAGTGTGTGAGTGGAAAGTGTGGGTGTGAAGTGTGGAGGTTAAAGTAAGGAGTGTGTAGTGTAAAGTGTGAAGTTTAAAGTTGAGGAGTGTAAAGTGTGGAGTGTGGAGTGAGAGTGTAAGTATAAAGTGTGGAGTGTGCAGTGCACAGTAAAGTGTGGAGTGTGGAGTGTGGAGTGCGTGTGGAGTGTGGAGTGTAGAGTGTGGAGTGTGGAGTGTAAAGTGTGGAGTGTAGAGTGTGGAGTGTAGGAGTGTAAAGTGTAAAGTGTGGAGTGTGGAGTGTAAAGTGTAGAGTGTGGAGTGTAAATGTGTAGAGTGTGGAGTGTGGAGTGTAAGTGTAGAGTGTAAAGTGTAGAGTGTAGAGTGTAGAGTGTGGAGTGTGGAGTGTAGAGTGTAAAGTGTAGAGTGTAAAGTGAGAGTGTGGAGTGTGGAGTGTAAAGTGTGGAGTGTAAAGTGTGGAGTGTGGAGTGTGGAGTGTGGAGTGTAAGTGTAAAGTGTGGAGTGTTGGAAGTGTGGAGTGTAAAGTGTGGAGTGTAGGAGTGTAAAAGTGTAGAGTGTAAAGTGTAGAGTGTAAGTGAGTGTAGAGTGAGGAGTGAGGAGTGGAAAGTGTAGAGTGTGAGTGTAAAGTGTGGAGTGAGGAGTGTAAAGTGTGGAGTGTGGAGTGTAAAGTGTGGAGTGTGGAGTGTGGAGTGGAAAGTGTGGAGTGTGAAGTGTAGAGTGTGGAGTGTGGAGTGTAAAGCGTAGAGTGAGGAGTGAGGAGTGGAAAGTGTAGAGTGTAGTGTAAAGTGTGGAGTGTGGAGTGTAAAGTCTCAGGTGAGGAGTGAGGAGTGTAAAGTGCAAAGTGTGGAGTGTAAAGTTTAGAGTGTGGGGTCTAAAGTGTAAATTGTGGAGTGTGGAGTGTACAGTGTAGAGTGTGGAGTGCGGAGCTTCCCCCATAGACACGGCGACGCCACAGGAAAACCAGAGACTCGAGACGAGACACGTGGGTGCAAAAAAAACGAGCATTTCGTGCGAGACTTCCTCCAATTTTGATATTTTCGACACGTTATCAAACAGGTTGGAATGTGACAAAGTGCCACGCCTGCCACGCAAAACGACATGACAACCTGCTTGGACACATTCGAATAGGAGGGGTTTTCCAGCTTCCCCTATAGACACGGCGACGCCGCAGGAAAACCAGCGACTCGAGACAAGACACGTGGATGCAGAAAAACCAGCATTTCGTACGAGACTTCCTCCAATTTTCACAGTTGGCAACATGACAAAAGGACAAGTTTTGCAGCTTCCCCCATTGACACGGCGAGGCCACAGGAAAACCAGAGACCCGAGACGAGACAGGTGGGAGCACCAAAACGAGCATTTCGTGCGAGACTTCCTCCAATTTTCACCCTTTGTAGCTTCAAAATCGATGTTTTCCTACGATTAGAACCTGAAAATTTGCAACCTCAAAATCGATGTTTCGTGCGAGGCTTCCGTCCATTTTCAGCACATCGCACAAAATGCATCAAAAAGCCACGCCTGCCGGAATTTGCACCTTGTCGCCACTTGACGCAGCCCTGCCAATGCGATTTGCAATAAACACGCAACACGACACGTCTAAAGTGCTGCGCCTGCCACGAAAAATGACGATGGACACGTCCAAAGTGCTGCGTCTGCCACGAAAAATGCAACACATCTTCTGAAAACGTCGCAAAAGTATTGCGCCTGCCACACAAAACGACTTTCGACACGTTACAAAACACGTCTGAATGTCACGAAGTGCCACGCCTGCCACGCGAAACGAAGCAACGAGACATCTGAAACCTCCAAAAAAGACCACCGCTGCAGAACTTAGGTGAACTTAGCATAGGCACGGCCATATAGCAATCGCGCGAACGGTTGCGAACGGTTGCGCACGGTTGCGAACGGTTGCGACCACAAACGCAACGTCGAGCGAACACACCCTCAACCCCCAGACCCCCAGAGTGAAACGGGAACCCTTGCTACGCATTCGGGAAAAAAGGCAAACCGACCGCAGCCGCACCCGCCGCACACAGGAGGCATCGCCGCCTGCAGCCACTTTACACGGAAAAATACAAGGTTTCGTGCTCCGGCTTCCTCCCCAAAACAAAATCCATGCAACATTCATGCAGCCATTACAACGCGTTACGCAGCATCACGTTGCAAACCTGCACGTATCAACGCACATGACAACAAAACGTGACAACATTCATGCAGCCATTCCACTGCGATTTGCAACCTCCCCAAACAAAGCCCATGCAACATTCATGCAGCCATGACAATGCGTTTCGCAGCATCACGTCGCAAACCCGCACATATCTACACACATGGCAACGACAACATTCATGCAGCCATTCCACTGCGATCTGCAACCACAGATTCCAAAACACCCTATAACTACGCACACACACAAGCACAGCCAAAGCAGCTTGAAGCCACCGTGACAATGCGGCAAAAAAAAGGCAAACCGACCGCAGCCGCACTCGCCGCACACAGGAGGTACCTTTCATCGCCGCCTGCAGCCACTTTACACGGAAAAATACAAGGTTTTGTGCTCCGGCTTCCTCCCCAAAACAAAGCCCATGCAACGTTCATGCAGCCATTACAACGCGTTACGCAGCATCACGTGGCTAACCCGCATGTATCTACACACATGGCAGCACCAGATGACAACAATCATGTAGCCATTCCACTGCGATCTGCAACCATAGACTCCAAAACACCCTATACCTAAAAACACACAAGCACACCCAAAGCAGCTTGAAGCACCTGTTACAATGCGGCAAAAAAAGGCAAACTGACCGCAGCCGCACCCGCCGCACACAGGAGGTACCTTTCATCGCCGCCTGCAGCCACTTTACACAGAAAAATACAAGGTTTCGTGCTCCGGCTTCCTCCCCAACACAAAGCCCATGCAACATTCATGCAGCCATTCCAATGCGATCTCCAACCACAGATTCAAGAAACGCAAAGAACTATTCGCACACCACCCTTCATCAAGGTCAATTCTTTTCTGAGGTATTGTTATGTAGTGTAAAGTCGCACACCACCCTTCATCAAGGTCAATTCTTTTCTGATGTTCGGTTTTGTAAAGTCTCACACCACCCTTCCTCAAGGTCAATTCTTTTCTGATGTATTGTTATGTAATGTCAAGTCGCACACCACCCTTCATCAAGGTCAATTCTTTTCTGATGTATTGCTATGTAATGTAAAAGTCGCACACCACCCTTCATCAAGGTCAATTTTTTCTGATGTATTGTTATATATTGTTGTAAGTAAAGTCGCACACCACCCTTCATCAAGGTCAATTCTTTTCTGATGTATTGTTATGTAGTGTAAAGTCTCACACCACCCTTCATCAAGGTCAATTCTTTTCTGATGTATAGTTATGTAGTGTAAAGTCTCACACCACCCTTCATCAAGGTCAATTCTTTTCTGATGTATTGTTATGTAATGTAAAAGTCTCACACCACCCTTCATCAAGGTCAAGTCTCAGTCGCGCACCACCCTTCATCAAAATCAAGTCTCACAATTCTATTTGTCCGTAACACGGAAGTATAGCTTCCCAACTTCCTTTGACTACTACGGCTACCATTCCGACTACGACTACGACTACGACTGAGACTACGGCTTCCACGACTACTACGGCTACTACGGCTACTGCGGCTACTACGTCGACGACGACGACTACTACTGCTACTGCTACTGCTACTGCTACTGCTACTGCTACTGCTACTACTACTACTGCTACTACTACTACTACTTCTACTACTACTACTACTGCTGCTGCTGCTGCTGCTACTGCTACTGCTACTTTCTGCTACTTACTCTTACTGCTACTGCTACTGCTACTGCTACTGCTCCTACTATGACTATGATTCCGACTACGATTCCGACTACGACTACGACTGACTACGACTTCTACGACTACTACGGCTATTGCGGCTACTACGTCAACGACGACTGCTACTGCTTCTGCTACTGCTACTGCTACTGTCGGTTGAAAAGGTGAGGATCACCTGGAAAGCTGGGAACAGAAAATGGATTACCCATTCGCAGGAAGTTGTTTGCCGATTTTATGCCTTGTGCAAAATATATATACATATATTATATTTATTTAAATATATATATGTGTGTGTGTGTGTGTAAATATATATAATTTTATGTACAGTATATACCTATATGAAACAAGACTGTATATACATGATTTGTCCCCAAACAAGGTGTCCAGCAACCAATATTGCAAAATGATACAACATCAAGCAGCATTTGGGTCTAATTCGTCTGCCGTCAATTATTGTCCCGCTTTTGCTGTGGAAACTGGATCTTGCGGAACGCCTGAAATACTTCCTGCAATGCGGACATGTTCTCAACCTTCTTCTGCAGCTGCTTGAGAGTCGCCAAATCCTGCTCCATCAAAGAGAAAAAACCTACACAAAGCATACAATATACAGGCACAGAGTCTGTCCGCCTTGGAAAGTCCTAATCGCCTTAAAGGAGCTAAAGCACCTGATAATTCTCCACGCCTTGTCCGCACCGGCGCTTTCAATCGCGGTGTTGACGAACCTCAATGGCCGAGGCCGCCCAATTTCGAAAATGGATATGTTTGAAAATGAAGCAAGCCCCTATTTGCATTTATTTACTAGTGCCTTTTTCAATGATGATAATGGAAATGATGATAAGCCACTGGATTTGGGGGTCCCCTATTTTCAGACAACCCAAACGAAGGAAGCCTAAGATTATGAAGTCATGTGAGCTTTCAAGCCACCCCTTCGTTTCGTTCCTCCAGTCGCGGCCTCACCACATGACCTTAACTTTGCCAGGCATCACTCCAGTGACAACATTGAGAATCCTTAGCGGATGGGGCTTGGGGCATCTTAGGCATTCAAGTTCAATATGTTTCAACATGTTTCAACGATTCTTTTAGCTTGGCTTAGCTTGCAAAATAGCTCTCACACAGTACCCCAAGATCCCTAACCCCGCCAATTCACCCAAGCCGTTTATCCACCAAGCCCTTGTGTGCTGAGAGGCGTGAAGAAACCAATCACTATATAGAGGTTCATCAAGCCAAGGGCAATGGGAGAGACCTCCCTCAGCGGTGCATAAGCATCTAGCCAGTTGATGCCCCCGGTGATGGACATGAAGAGCGTCATCATGCTGTCCTCGGACTGAAAACATGTCGACAAATTGAAAGCAGCGGTGCCCGGCCATGCATTGACTTGAAATGAGTTGGGTTGCGCTGGGTTGAGTCAAATAGAAAGACAGAAAGAAAGAAAACTTGACTGAATGACTGAGTGATTGAGTGACAGAGCGACTGAATAATTGAATGGTTGAATTATTGAATGAATGAATGAATGAATGAATGAATGGATGGATGAAGGAATGAAGGAATGAAGGAATGAAGGAATGAAGGAATGAATGGTTGAATGATTGAAGGACAAAAATGAATGAATGAATGAATTTCTGACTGAATGACTGAATGACTGCATGGCTGCATGATTGAATGACTGGCTGACTGGTTGACTGACTGACTGAATGAAAAGATGCATGAATGAACAAGTGAATGAACGACTGGCTGGCTAACTGACTGACTGACTGAATTCATGAATCAATGAATGCATTCATGAATGCATGAATGCATGACGGAAAAAATGAATACCGACTGGCTGGCTAACTGACTGACTGACTGAATTAGTGAATGAATGAACGAACGAATGAATGAATTAATGAATGACTGACTGACTGACTGACTGAATGAATGAACGAATGCATTCATGAATGCAGGAATGCATGAACGCAAAAATGTATGAATAAAAAATGAATGAACGACTGGCTGGCTAACTGACTGACTGACTGAACGAATGAACGAATGAACGAATGAACGAATGAACGAATGAACGGATGAACGAATGCATGAATGCATGAATGCATGAATGCATGATGCATGAATGACTGAATGAATGAATGAATGAATGAACGAACGAATGAATGAATGAATGAATGAATGAGTGAATGAATGAATGAATGAATGAAAGAATGAATGAATGAATGAATGAATGAATAAAATGAAAGAATGAAAGAATGAATGAATGAATGAATGAAATGAATGAATGAAAGAATGAAAGAATGAAAGCATGAAAGAATGAAAGAATGAAAGAATGAAAGAATGAGTGAATGAATGAATGAATGAATGAGTGAATGAGTGAATTAATGCGTGAGTGAATGAGTGAATGAGTGAATGAGTGAGTGAGTGAGTGAGTAAGTGAGTGAGTGAGCGAGTGAATGAATGAGTGAGTGAGTGAGCGAGTGAATGAGTGAATGAGTGAGTGAGTGAGTGAGTGAATGAATGAATGAATGAATGAAGGAATGAAGGAATGAAGGAATGAAGGAATGAAGGAAGGAAGGCATAAAGGCATGAAGGCATGAAGGCATGAAGGCATGAAGGCATGAAGGCATGAAGGCATGAAGGCATGAAGGCACGAATGCATGATTGCATGATTGCATGAATGCATGAATGCATGAACGCATGAATGCATGAATGCATGAATGCATGAATGCATGAATGCATGAGTGCATGACGAGTGCATGAGTGCATGAGTGCATGAGTGCATGAGTGCATGAATGCATGCATGCATGCATGCATGAATGAATGCATGAATGAATGAATGAATGAATGAATGGATGGATGGATGGATGAATGAATGAATGAATGAATGAATGAATGAATGAATGAGCTCCCTGGCCCGCTGTTGCTCTGAACTACCTCACTCTCGGCTACCTCTTCTCTGAGCTAGCTCTTCTGCAGCTTCTGTAACACAAGTCTTGTCTTTGCAAAGCCATCCAATGCGTTTAACAACCTCCAGCTGCTTTCCCGCAAAACACAGCAGCGGCATCATCGTCAAACACTACCCTTGTTGCAGCTGTGACCATCCCAGTTTCGTCACCTCCAGCTGAAAACCCGTGCGGCAGGAGCGTTCCACCAACTGGACCAAAGTGCGCGCAGCGCTGGGTTCTGCGCTGGTCTGAAGCCTGCATTTGTTTTACGTTTTTCGGCTAATGGAGCTCTCGCTACAGTCTCGTGCGCAATCTTTCAAAAGTGGCTCGCACGCGCGCTTGCAACGAGAAGCGGCTTTATCAAGCAAGATCGAGCTCTCACTACATAGAGTCTCGTGCAAATTTTGTCGGCAGCTTTTACAGATCCGGGCCCGCAACCGCCGAAACAAAGAAACTCCCTGCACGACCCCCACACGAAGAAACAAGGATTCGCGCACTTCCACTGCTTCACCCGGCAGATTCACAAACTCCCAGGTTGTTACTGTGATCTATGTGCTTTTTCACCTACCAACTGCGGTTGCTACCTCTGTGGTTGATGCTGTGAAAACTAACTATGGACATTCGTCCATAACTCGAAAGTGTGCGAAATGAACTTCCTTTGAGTATTTGGCTATGTATTGAAACCCTTGTAATCCACAGGTGAACACAAACGTAGCTGGTAGTTATGGATGTTCATCATCCCAAATATGCATATATATATAATATATATATATATATTAAAGAAAAGGAATGTATGTGTGTGTAATTATATAATAATATAAGCATAACAATATGCATAAATATATATATATATACTGTTTGTATTGACATTGATATTGAACCATGAATTAAGGTCTGGTTGGCCCACTTTTCCGGAGCCCAGCTGCCATCACATTGCCCCAGTACTGCTCCAGCAGTACTGGGCACACTGGCACTGCATTCGGGTCCCCAGTCAAGTCAATGGTCGCGAAGCGGCAATGGTCTGTCCTCGGCTCAGCTCATGGGTCAAGTGGGGTTCATGGGCCCACCACCCCGATTTTCCCAGGCTGGATCTTTGGAAGTCCATGCCGAGCCACACCAACTGAGCGAAGATGCAACTGAAGGTATAGAATAGAATCAGCAACAGCAGCAAGGTCCACCTGGGACGGCACGGCTGAGCAAGCGGCAGCGTGCAGGATTTGAAAGGAATGGACGTCAAGATCTTCTGCGTGCGCCCTCGGTGTCTCTGTAAGATTTTTTGCAAGATCTCAGCAATTTCTGCAAGGTGTTAAATGTAAGATCCCCAAGATCCGCCATTCTCTACAAATATTTGCGGAACCTTCAGATCTCACAAGGTGAATCACACATGATTTTGACACCGTGGACACTCTGATGTGGAGACGCAGGTGCGCCTGAGCTCTGGAATCAAGAGTACTGCGGCATACTGCGAAACATGTGCCCGAAGCATCCAAAGTTCCGTTCATCAATATGAACGAAGTCAGGAAACCACACCTTTCCACGAAACCTCGAGCCCTCACGACATGCTGCAGAAAAGGGCCAATGGTTGTGCCAAATTCAGCCACATTCCAATCCAAACCACACCTGCCAATTCCAAATCCAAATATTAGACCTGCCACGCAAAGTCTCGAACGCGCAAGGCCAGAGCAGCCGGCCAAAACATGCACAAGAAAAGAGGCCACCTGTGGATTCAATCTCGGGATGTAACAACACGTGTCATGTTAACAATACTAGTCACTACTTTCACATTTGTTCCCCACATTGACGTGTGGATTTTTTGTTTTTAGTGCTGTATCCGCTCCGCCTTCTTCTTCCTCTTCCTCCGTCCACCGTCCTCCCGTCCCTCCTCCCGCCTATCACACACACACACACTCACTCACTCACTCACTCCCTCCCTCCCTCCCTCACTCACTCACTCACTACCTCACTCACTCACTCACCTCACTCACCTCACTCCACTCACCTCACTCACCTCACTCACTCACTCACTCACTCACCTCACCTCACCTCACCTCACCTCACCTCACCTCACTCACTCACTCACTCACCCACCCACTCACCTCCCTCACTCACTCACCTCACTCACCTCACTCACCTCACCTCACCTCACCTCACCTCACCTCACCTCACCTCACCTCACCTCACCTCACTCACTCACTCACTCACTCACTCACCTCACTCACCTCACTCACTCACTCACTCACTACCTCACTCACCTCACTCACCTCACTCACCTCACTCACCTCGCCTCACCTCCCTCACCTCACCCACCTCACCTCCCGCCCTCCCCTCCCCTCCCCTCCCCTCCCTCCCTCAACCTCACCTCACCTCACCTCACCTCAACCTCACCTCCCCCTCCCCCCCCTCCCCTCCTCCCCTCCCCTCCCACCTTCACCTCCCTCACCTCACCTCACCTCACCTCATCTCACCTCACCTCACCTCATCTCACTCACCTCACTCACTCACACTCACTCACACTCACTCACTCACCCACTCACCCACTCACCCACTCACCCACCCACTCACCCACTCACCCACTCACCTTCTCACCCACTCACCCACTCACTCACTCACTCACTCACTCACCCACCCACTCACTCACTCACTCACTTTCCACTCACTCACTTTCCACCCACTCACTTTCCACTCACTCACTTTCCACTCACTCACTTTCCGCTCACTCACTTTCCACTCACTCACTTTCCACTCACTCACTTTCCACTCACTCACTTTCCACTCACTCACGTTCCACTCACTCACTCTCCTCTCTCTCACTCTCCACTCACCCACTGTCCTCTCACCCACTTTCCTCTCACTCACTTTCCTCTCACTCACTTTCCTCTCACTCACTTTCCTCTCACTCACTCACCTCACTCACCCACCAAGTCACTCACCCACCCACACACTCACTCACTCACCTCACTCACCTCACTCACCTCACTCACCTCACTCACCCCACCCACCTCACTCACCTCACTCCTCACTCACCTCACTCACCTCACTCACCTCACTCACCTCACTCACCTCACTCACCTCACTCACCTCACTCACCTCACTCACCTCACTCACCTCACTCACCTCACTCACCTCACTCACCTCACTCACCTCACTCACCTCGCTCAGCTCGCTCACCTCACTCACCTCGCTCAGCTCGCTCAGCTCGCTCAGCTCGCTCACTCCCTCACTCCCTCACTCCCTCCCTCCCTCCCTCACTCACTCACTCACTGCCCGTACAGTCTCCGTAGCGCCTGTACAGTCTCCGTAGCGCCCGTACAGTCTCCGTAGCGCCCGTACAGTCCCCGTAGCGCCCGTACAGTCTCCGTAGCGCCCGTACAGTCTCCGTAGCGCCCGTACAGTCTCCGTAGCGCCCGTACTGTCTCCGTAGCGCCCGTACAGTCGCCGCAGCTCCGCCAGGAGGCTCTGTGTAGTGCGTCTGCCACGCAAAAGGCAAGCTCTCTGTACTGCGCCTGCCTGAGTGAGTGAGTGAGCGAGTGAGGTGAGTGAGTGAGTGAGTGGCGCGTGGCCGCCGCTGGGGCCGGCTGCCTTTCTGGCAGGCGCAGTACACAGAGCCTCCTGGACGAGCTGCGGCGCGCGTGGCCGCCGCTGGGGCCGCGGCTGCCTTTGGCGTGGCAGGCGCAGTACACAGAGCCTCCTGGACGAGCTGCGGCGCGCGTGGTCGAGCTGCGGCGCGCGTGGCCGCCGCTGGGGCCGCGGCTGCCTTTGGTGGCAGGCGCAATACACAGAGCCTCCTGGACGAGCTGCGGCGCGCGTGGCCGCCGCTGGGGCCGCGGCTGCCTTTCGCGTGGCAGGCGCAGTACACAGGGCGCCGCTGGGGCCGCGGCTGCCTTTGGCGTGGCAGCAGTACACAGAGCCTCCTGGACGAGCTGCAGCGCGCGTGGCCGCCGCTGGGGCCGCGGCTGCCTTTCGCGTGGCAGGCGCAGTACACAGAGCCTCCGCATCATCTTTGACACACTTTCTCACACAAATTTGTCTCACACCATCTTTCAGACACCATCCTTGACACACCAACTTTGACACACCATCTTTCACACCACTTTGTCCCACACCATCTTTCACACACAGCTTTGTCACACACCATCTTGCACAAACCACTTTGTCACACAGTATCTTTCACACACCATCAACACCATCTTTCACACACAACTTTGCCACACACCATCTTTCACACACCACTTTGTCACACACTATCTTTCACACACCACTTTGTCACACACCATCTTTCACACCCCATCTGTGACACACCATCTTTGTCAGCACTTTGTCACACACCATCAACACCATCTTTCACACACCATCTTTGACACACCATCTTTCACACACAACTTTGTCACACACTATTTTTCACACACCATCTTTCACACACACACCTTTGTCACACACCATCTTTGACACCACATCTTTGACACACACACACACATACACACACACACCATCTTTCACACACCGTCACAGACAATTTTTTGCACACCATCTTTCACACACAACTTTGTCACACACCATCTTTGACACACCTTCTTTCACACACAACTTTGTCACACACCATCTTTCACCACACCATCTTTGTCACACACCATCTTTCACGCAGACAACTTTGTCACACACCATCTTTCCTCCACCTCTTCCTTTGTCTTTCCTTCCTTCCCCGTCCCCGCAACAAGATTTCTTGCTCAATATTAGAAGAAGTTGACTTGTGGGGTTATCCGGTCCTTTTATTGTTTTCTCACCTGGGTTGATTTGGATCAACGATAGAAAACAAGGCAACCCCAAAATACAAGCCAATTAATACAACATATTTACCACAATTTAAACATATTTCAACTGGAAAAATGGGTTGGTATAGTTCACAACAGGACATTCGTCATTGATGTGCTGCCAAATGCCCCGCAGACCGCCGATGGACACTAGAAGTGACGCTGATCGGGAATTAGGAATACAATGGTGATGTAATGGAATACAACCAACAAAATTGCAGGACATGTTGATTCAGCACATGTTGGATTTTTGGGATAACCTATTTGCAGAGAAACCCACTTCATGTTGGAAGGTGGTGCCATATAAAAAAAAATCACTCCCGCGCCTGCGGTGTAAACCTCCGCAATGGCTGGAAGTTGGGTGTCCTGAACTTTGAAAGCGAAAAACCGGAAGTTTTGGATAAAAATCACCACAATGCACATCCCAAAAACACGATTTTTTTGAAGTATTTAAATGGAAGATTTCAAGGTACCATCACAAGTGGACAGGTCATTTGAATTTGGCCAATGGTGGAAAAGGGTAATCCCAATTTGGAGAAACACCCAAATCAGCATCCAAGAGAATACAAATTCATGCGATATGGCTGGGAACATGTTTTGTGGTTGTTGCTGGCGCGTTGTTGACAGATCTCATCCCAGTTCATTCCCTTTAACAAAACTTAACTGTGGAGATTTTGAAACCGACTTATTGTGACAACGTTGGGTGTGGGTTATACGCGTGGGGCCGCGCAACTTACCAAAACAAAACACAAATTTGCCAGAATTCCGCAGCATGTTTGAGAATTGCAAGTAAGGATATTGGTTTCATTTTCTCCAGTTCGACCAATACCAATATGAGAGGAGCCAGCCGCATGAGGATGGGTCAAACTCTACCCCGGTGGGCAGCCGAAGTAGGATAAACTAGGGTATGTGGGACTGCTCATAAAATGTGTTTGTATCAAACTTTGCAACCTCCAAAACCCACGTTTCATCACGGTCTTCCCTATCAAACTTGGCGTTCACAAACCTACAAGTTTTGAAACTTGCAGCCCTATGAGCTATTTTTTGGTGCCGAGAAACCTCCCCACCTACATGCTATGTTCCCCCATTGTGGAAATCAGCTCCGCAACTTCTCCTGCGCCGAACCGGAAACCTCGGAGCGGACTGGGATCGAAACCCCAAATCCAAAAAGAACGGTGCCGAATCACTGTTTGTATCTTCGTTCTGCGCCTGTTCTTCGGGTTTGGTTTGGGCGTCAAGATCTCAGTCAAAGCGTCGCCCCATGCAAGAGTCGCTGAAGAAATTTCCAGCAAATGCCAATGCTTGCAATCCACTTGCCTTCTGGAAGCGGGCTCCACCAAGTCTGGTTGAATGCTACGTCTGTTCATTTTGAGGCCCCGGAACCAACGACTTGGCACTGCCAAAAAACTTAGTAAGCCCCCCCCTGCAGATCCTCAGATCGTTGGCCGGAACCGGTGCAAGATGTCGGGTCACAAGAACAATTTTTAATGTGGGTCATGTGCCGAAAGCCCACATTGGCGTGCATTCAGATGCAGTAGGCACCATTTCAAAAGTTCAGCGAACCTGCATACAGCTACCACCAGACTTGGTATATCGTCGACGCTACAGTCATGTTCCCAGTTTTTCTTCTGCCTACCACACTCTTCAGGAACTGCACGTCCCAAATGCAAAACATGAAGAGCTTTGCAAGGAGGACTTTGTAGCAACCAAGCGCAAGACGTATATCCCTATTGTGGGGAAAACAAGCCTCACTATGAGCCATCAGCCGCCATCATGTCAAAGCCACAATTTGAATTCGATTGGGCTCCTACACCAGGCTTCCGACGGAGAAATGGGGCAAGGCCAACTAGATGAGTGACTAGCCATGATACACTGCAACCCTCAAGAAATC